CCTCGCGAGCTCGTCTCTCTGGGCATTTATTTTTGCACCATTTCGACCACCATACTCAGATACCATGCTGCATTCCCTGTCAAGTTCACAGTCGCCACCCTCGTCATCAACAGGTACTGTGAATGCAGAGATGAACAGAGCAAACTCTGTAGCAGCGTCGTCTTGAAAGTATATGTATCGGCGGCAGAAGTGTTACCAGGCGGCGATTATCTTTCCTCAGTCAAATCCCGATGTATGTCTAATATATATACCCCCCAAACCTCGCAGTAGTTGAATGTACCCTCCACCCTCGAGAACACGCGAGAAGCCCAGCAGAAAACGCCCGCCGGCTAAATTATCTCGCTGGAGCTGCTCGCGCTTGCGCCGCGAAGGCAGCCCTTCATGCCCAGCAATTTCTCGACGACACTCCGGACCCAGATGAACATGCCGGGCCTGCCCATCCTCCCACTCCTGAGCCAGAAGCACGGCTTGAACTTGGGCTCGATGCCAAGAACGAATTGCCGCCCGGATCCTCTCCTGCATCGTCTGTGCGTGAATTGAGTGATGATGACGACTCGGAGATTCAGGTCGTCCATCCCCCTATCGTACAAGCTGGAGAAGTAGGGTCAGGGTCGGATGGAGATGAGGAAGAGCAAGCTGTCGACGAACCAGGCCACGCCAAAGCATCCGACTCAGAGCCCGAAGTGGAGGAACTTGAGGGCGACGAGCTCAGGCAAGCAATGAATGCGCAGACGGATCGCGTGGCACGCTCGCTCGCAGCTGTGAAGGCTATCATGAGCAGCAGTATCAAGTTTGGGAAAAAGTTGGAATACGGCCGAGAAGGGGATGAAATCAGGGAAATATACGGGAAACTCGGTGAGGAAAGACCGGTATGACAGGCAGAAGCTGGCAGCAAAAAAAGGAGGGTGATAAGAAGTTGAGAGGGACGTACGCCCAGATCGTCTTCGCGGGCGACATCTTGATTGACGTTTGAAACAGCCACGAGGCCGGGCAATTTCGAGCCTTCTTCGGTGCAACACGAACCGCGCCTACGGTCTCCGCCACACGTTCGAAAAGCAAGCTGGATGATGTTGAATAGAGTGTGACGGCGAACGGCGATGGCACCATATTGTCTGCGCACGCGGCAGGCTCACCCGCGGCAGGCGGTGAATCGGCGAGTCGCGACGCGGGCTCTGAGTCTCCCGAACATCCTTCATCGCCAGCGGACATCTCTGCGGATGTGCACCGATTTGTGAAGGGGGCAGTCGGCAGTGCTCGTGAACGAGAAGCCGGAGAGGAGGATGGCTTTGATGGCTTTTTGTTAGATCTCGACGATGAAGACGACGCCGGGAATTTAGTCCGCTCAGCCATGGCTTTATATGCCGGGCCGTATGCAAGCTGTTCGGACTCTGTCCATGACTCCAGGTCGTTGTGTGCATCATGACCGAGCATGCGACGACGAGTGGGCGTAGGGCTCTGAATGTGGCTAACATCCATCACAACGACGTTGATGTCCTTCATTGTCGAAGCGCCTCCCGTAGCAGCCGCCATGGCGATCTCGAGACGCAGGACCTCGGCTCCACGCGCGGTTGCTGCTACGCTCATCGCACTCGCGGCTGAGAAGGGAAGCCCCGCATGTGAATCGGCGGCGGCAACGCAAAATACGACACTCTTCTTCTTCCCCTTGCCATTGATATGAGAAGAGGAGCGGAGGAGCGGGAGAAGAGCCTGCACAACCATAAATAGGACAATGTGCGTCGTGGTCAAGTACGGCATATAGTCGTGTACGAGTTGTAGATGCTCGAGGGGTCCGGGTGGCGGCAAAGCGGGCGAAGATAGGCCGAGCAGCGAGATTACCGAGTGGATGTAGGGCATCGAGGCCGGTGAGGCATGAGGGTCACCGCCAGCATCAATGGGAAAACGTCTTGACAACGCCGACACCAGCAATCGTAAGAAGTTGGGCACGCTGTCGGGCTAGATAACGCATCAGTCCTCTGTGATATACACCGTTAGATGTCCAACTCACCAGTAAGGGATCGAGGACGAGTGCGCGCACATATCCGTGTCTTTGGTGCTCAATCTCGCTAGCTGCATCGGAAGTAGAAGCGCTAGCAATTACGATGTAGCCTTTCTGCTTCAACTCATGGCTGAGCGTCAGCGCAAGCGGAGTATCGCCGCCCAACACGACTGTTGACCCCATTAAGTACTGTCGTACAGTATATTTGAATGAGACGACATACCGACAACCTGCTTCCTATCACTAGAATGCTTTCCCTTCCCGGTTCTCCTGCCACGGTGTACCAGGAGGCCCTTATAACCGACCAGGAGTGTGGCGCCAACAGCGCCAGCGCCTATCCCAGTAGCCGTCAACGGATGGTCCGCTACCCAATCCGTCGATCTGTCCCAGAAAAACCGTGGGGGAGGTGGCGGAGGCGGAGAAGGTAGGATCTCGAATTCGCCCAGACCAGGCAGCTTAATATCCGGCAGCTTCGGTCCATAGCGGGTGACGTCGGCCCACAGGCGCTTAACGCTCTCGCCTATGTGAGGGACCCTCATTGGCGACGGCTGTCGCAGAAGCGTACACGTAGTTCTTGACGCGTTCGACGTAGTACTGCACGTCGTCACTGGACGGCATGATGGTGGAGGTAGCGGACAAGGTCAAGGTTCGGGCTTAGACCGGGCACGTCGTGTATATGCCGCGATAACACGCGTCGCGCGCCGTGACTGACGCGAGATGATTGGCAGAGATCAACTAGGAGCGGCAGTCGAAAGTATGTATGATGGTCTTGATCTCGGGAAATAATTCCTGAATAGAGTATGTGGGCCCGAGGTAAAGCTAGTGTTGCCTAGTGTTGCTAGGCGGAAGCAGTAGAAAAAGTAGCACAGAAAATATGTACTTGAATATTACGATGGAACGAATCCGCACAGCTCGAAGTCGCCTTGTCCATTCTCGCGCGCATACAGCTGGCTCTCCACAAACGCCTGAAACTCGCACATACCATCAACCGCTCCACAGAACTGAAGCGGCTGCACCGCGTCGTTCATCAAGACTCTGACCGACTCCTTCCCAGAGCAGTCCAACTTCTCGACCGTCATATGGCCGGAGAACGGCACCAGCTTCGAGTTCACCCACAACCTATTCGCACCCGGCGAGAACGGGTCGAGCGCGGTAGAATTGACCAGACCGTGCGCAGCGAAGATGGGTGCCATGGTGTTATCGTGCAAGAAGTCGGCATAAAAGGTGCGGCTCAGCGGGAATGTTGCGAGGTCGCTGTCGAGCGTGCGGTTCGTCTGCGTCTCGTCCTGTACGGCTCGGCCAGTCAAGCGAGCGAGCAGGTCATTGACGTATCCGACACCCTGAACCGGATCAAGGGTGTTGCCGGGACCTGTTCCGTAGTACTTGTCGATATCGTAGTAGTACTCGTACGACGCGTATTCCTCGGCTGTGAAGAGGTCGCAGAAGGGGCTGTCGACGCCTGTGCTCAACGTATCGAATGGACACATGCCCATGAGATTGAGCGTGTCACTATCGGAGAGGTTGGCACCTGGAGGCGCGGCGTTCAACCCAATGTGATATTGGGCCCAAAAGCCCCTAGCCAGGTCGTGGATTCGTCGCTGTCGACCTGATTGGGGCACATCTTGTTGCAGAGAGTGCAGTTGCCCTGCCAGCGGTATAATTCTACGGGTTCAATTGACGGGAACATGAACAAGACTTACGTCTTCTGAGAGCACAACTTGAAGTACAGGGAGTACAGTCTCACCGGAGGCGTCGCCAAAGCCCGCAGTCCAGTTCGTCGAAGAGTCAACGATGCGTTGATCGCCCGCCGCGCGGACGAAGGGGATGCTGTTTTCGTCGACCAGCGCAGAGTAGCGATTAAACATATCGGCGCCTGTTTGCTGTGACCTAAGGGGGTGGTGAGTTCCCTGATCGGAAGCGACGAAGGCACGAACATGCTGATTTGCTCGAAACGGCAGCAGGTCGTCGACGCCAAAATCGTACACGAAGGAGTTCGGGAACTCATACTCCGGATCGGTGAATGGTCCCGCAGCCTGCAGCCGGGCCACAGTGTCTGCTTGCCGTCCCCCCGCACCGGAGGTCGGCCATCGCGCACCGTGTCTCTGGAGCTGGAAACACATAATGTCAGCTTGACATCGATGATCTACCAGTAGCGTACGTACGAGGATAACCTGTGTGACCGTGCACCCGTCTGGTGGCGCCGCGTAAGGTTCAACAGGGAAGAACGGATCGTATTACGCCCAGTTGGTAGTGTTCTGCGCAGGGATGGGCAGCTGGGCAGCGACGAAGCTAAACTACGCGCTCCAAGCGAGGCTCAACATGAGGCTGAGAAGTAGGGAGGATGCGGTAGCTGAAGAGGCCATCTTCATTAGGACTGGTACCACGAGTCTACGACCTTCGCAGGCGCAGAGATAGCAAACGTGTGCCGCGGCGGCGCACTTGATGAGATGGCTGCGAGCGGGAAAACTGCGAAGGTCAGAAGTCGGAGATATGCTCCGCGCAGATATCTTATAGATGCGCTCAGCGCGCTGGTTGGCCTGCAAAGCCGCCGCCATGGTGATTGGCGTACCGGGAGAAGCGGTTCGGAAGCATGCACACACGTGCGTCGTTTGCTCAGCGCTACGGCACGCTGTGCGTGGGTTACACGATCAGGCCTTCATTCGCAAAGGAAACCCTAGTATACAGAGCCAGCCGGGCCCTCCGTAGAGGAATGTAGAGAGGAGATGATGGTTTGGCTTAAAGCTTAAACGCTAAGCGCTAGACTGCGGCGTTGCCGCGCCGTTCGCGCGCAATCCGATTGTTGACGCCACGCGTCGGTGGTTGTCACCCGTTTATCGTCTGCCCATGAATAATTCTGAGTACTGTGCAACCCCCACGAAACATGCATCAACACGGGGAGCAGGCATACTATCATAATGAACAGCACACAATTAGGACAAAGCATTCTCAAAACAAGATATCCAAAGCAAAGGTCCACCTTCATCAATCACCTACTACTGTTCCACACTCATATCCTGCTCGTCCGTGCCGTTCGACCCACGTTCCAACTGATCGACAAAGCTGGTAAGAAGTTCCTTCCCAAAGATATGCAATTGATCGTGCGTGAAGCTCATAGGCTCTCTTAGATATTCTGGCAAACGCGGGTCGTCCTTCGACAAGCCTGGAGTATCTCGATAGAGACATGAATCCTTGAAGAGTATAGCTGAAGTGGGATCGGTGTCAATATCGTGCCCCCACCCTTGCCGCAGTGTGAAGTTGAAGCCTAAGTGATTGTGATACAGTGTCAGCAACAACCCGAACGATGGATACAGACTTCGAATACGCACTGAGCAACGTATCGTATGGCTGTTCCGTACCTCGGGGCGTAAAAACACAATCGAACGTCCGAGTTACCGTGCCAGGCCTCAATTCGTTTGGGAACTCCTTGACTCGCGTGATCAAGATGTTCGTTAACTCTTCGTACATCCGGACAGCAGCGCTGTTGAGCGGACCCCTCTCGTTTTCGCCTCTCACAACGATCTTGGGCTCGTGTGGGCGTTGTCCAGAGGTATAGGCTTTGAGCTCCTTCTGGAGCTGATTGGCGCGTTGGATCTCGCCGTCTCGTTCTTGCTTGAGGTCGCGAACTGGAGTACTATCAGCCAACGAAGATGACAGGGATACCGCTGTCATCAAACACACCTTCGTCTTCGAGTTCCTTGATACGCGCATCCTTGCCTTCTAAGGCGGCAGTGGCCTTGTCAAGCTTGGTCTGTAGCTCGAGCTTATCCTTCTCCGCCATTTCGGGGGTCAAGATCTGCAGGAAATGAGAGCTGTCAGGGGGTACGAGCGTCGCCTTCGTGCTCCGCTTAAACTCCGCCTCCAACGCGTTGTACTTCTCATCCTTCGCTATATGAAGACTAAGCTGATGAGAATACGGGTCATATGTACGGACGATCGTACCTGCCATAACCGAGTGCAACTGCGCTATCTGAGTCTGCACGAGCTCTTCCTCTTTCTCCTTGCTTTTCGTATACAGTTCGTAGGCTACGTGTAGGTCCTGTTCGCGAACTTCAGCCTGCGTTCACGGCTGTTCTGTCAGTCATATATTAAGCTTCGAGAAGTACAGAACACGCACCTGCTCTAACTGCTTCCTCTGTCGCTCAATCTCGCGTTCCAATGCGCTGATGCGCGAGCCCGAAGCGGGGTTTGTCGGTGAAGTTCCCTTGCCCTTCTGCGCACGCGAGCGTCGAGCAGCAGCAGCGCGCTCATCCTCACTGTCCCCAATATCGACGATCTCAATCGGCTTAGCTTCAGCTTTCGCCTTACCCTTTGCCTTCGCTCTTGTCTTTGTAGGCAGGGGCGGTGCCTCAATCTTCTCTGGACCGTCTGTGTCGATGACCTCGATGTCTGGAGGTGGAGGCGCGTGAATGCGCGGGCGTTTGACGGTGGTCGGCTTCGCCTTGGAGAGACCAGCGCCATTAAGAGAGGTGTTGAGCGCGTTGATCTTGGGTGCTGCTGCAGTACGTTTATTCCTCGCGGCCAACTTGGCCGCAGGTGTGGTAGGGTCCAAACCATCTGGACATGATCACGTCAGCGGTGAAGGGCATGGAACTGTTCAGTACATTAGCAACCTAGCTCGTCCATGTCAGCGTCTGGCGACATTGCGTGGGCTTATCAGTGATAAAGTGGTGTAAGACGAGTGTGACGGTGGTGTGGCGACAACCTCTGGACGCGAAGCGCGCGCGACGCGACGCGTGGTCGTGTGCCTTCGCCTCCAACCACCAACAGCGCGGACCCATATCAGTATTCGTTGCCCGTGCACCTAACACCTCCACTCTGCATTCCCGTATGACTCTGTTGATGATGACGGCCTTTCTTCTGCGAGTAGTATCGGTAATCTGCTATATGCTCGACGGCCAGCGGAGCCGAGCTACAACGATTGTACCCTGCATTCCCGACGGAAGACTCTGTCTGTGACTGCTATCGCACCTCCTTGCCCTGATCTCCCACAATGGCTTTTCAAGCCTCTCTTGATGCCTACCAGGTAGTTCGCGTAGAGCTCATCGCGTCTGACCGTGCGCTTCGCCGCGATAACGCGCGCATCGCAACTACAAGTGACGCTGAGAAGCGCGCCGACGAGACGATACGCGCTTCGCGCGCGAAAGAGGCGCAGGAGATATGGAACGATGAGAGTATCCCTAATGTGTTTCCTGGCATGGGATTTATGGTCTGCAAGGATATCGTCGACCGGACAGAGCTATTCCAGATCGTCCGTAAGGTACGTGTCGTTTGGTTGTTAATCAAAGCAGACCGCTCATGTTGCCCTAGATGCCGAAGGGCGCTCTTCTACACGCACACTTGGACGCCTGTGTAGACGAATCAAAGCTTCTAGCGCTCGCATACGAATATCCCCAGATACACATCCACATAGCGCGCAACGTAACTCCGGAACATATAACAAATGAACTCCCGACCTTCACGCCACTCGCGATCTCGCCCTTCACAGCCGGATCAAGCGCCGGGATGAGTGGTGCACAGGGCTATGTGGGCGATACATAGGTCCCGCTCGCAGAGGCTAGGAAGGCCTTTGACCCGGCGCTTGTGGGCCGGAGGGCTTTGACAAATGGATCCTGGATACGCAGATGGTCAACCCCAGAGAGGCTTATGGTACGCACAATGGTATCAGGGAGATCTGGATCAAGTTCATCCAGCCCTTTGGTGTCACTTCGGTGAGTAGTCATACGGAGCATACCTAAGTGAGCCATACACAGCCAAGCTCCCCTCCCTCCCCTTCTTCCTGTCTCCCGTGAGCGGAATACTGTGCCCTCCGGGTCCGTTTTTCGACAGCGTGGTACTGAAACTGAAACGGGAGTTTGTGTGTGTGCACGCCGCGCACACCGAGCCCCACGTTAGCGCAGCGGGATATATTGTGAGAGATGAGTCCCCTTGTTCTATCTTTCTGTATTCAGCATACTAACAACAATACATAGCTACCGCGCGCCAGGGGACACGGTCCCCCAACGCACAAATGATCTATCATCTTTCCTAGCTTTTTACGCGCCCACCCGCCTACGCCCGCATCCCGCCCTCCAAAACTTGCTACTAACGCGTTTTATGTGTTTGGGAGAGCGATGACGAGAGTCACGCTCGTGACCCATCCCGTGGCAGAGGGCGACGACGAGCCGCCCTGTCCTTCGCTAGCTTGGCAGCGTCGCAAAGGGCAACAGCCTATGCGACACAAGCTCATCCCTGGCTTCCTCAAGGCGCGCGCCCCGCGGGCCTGTCGAGAAGGTTGGCGACACACGCATTAGGCAGGAGGCCAACACGCGCTTGGCGACGACCCACACCTAGAACACATATGCGCGCATGGAGCTTGCTATCGACGAACATAGCTAGATGCGTGGGTCTTTCGAACTCACAATGGCATGGAGGATATGCTGGACGCTACCCCCAGCCAGCGGGCGCGCGATCTCCAGAAACAGGATCTCCTGCAAGGCATGGGAGACCGCATCAAAGGCTTCTCCGACTCCGGACACGACGTCGCGGTTTCGTTCCACGCGTTCGCCAGGCAGTCACTCATGCCCATCCTCAGCGCCTCAGCATGGGAAGCGCGCCCTCTGCGCCCATTACTCATGCGCCTCAAGCGGGCCTCGAGGCCACGGCGAGCTTCCAAAATTGCGTTCACCCTCAGTGCCGTGCTGCCCGCTACCTCTGCACCCCTCCCGGCCGTACAGCCCACGCAGATAATGTTCTAGTCTGCGCGGACCTACCCAAACACTGCGGGCGGGGGCGCACAGCCTGTTGCTCCAACGTTTGGTGGTACCACAGCCCCGGCTGCGTTCCCCTCCCACGCAAAGGCCTATACATGGCGTTGCAGGGTTACGCTCCGTTCAATGGCTCCGTGCTGGCGGTGCCCACGGAATGGCTGGCGAGCCAGCCTCCCACGGACGGTATTAGCGCCAGCTCCTCGGCCTCCATGTTTGGGGGCAGCTCTTTGCGAGGAGGACAGCGAGGTCGTTTCGATCCACCCGCCAACGGTTACGTCTAGCTTGCCGCAGGGAGTTTAGAGACTTCGGGCCAGCACAGATGGACGCACGTCGAAATCTATGGAATCTATGAGACGTGCCATCTTGCAGAAGGTCAACAGCGACGCGTTTGAGCTCCTGACGCGCCCGGACCCCGCGGTGTTGTTCCCTACCTTGACAAGCAATGGGCGGCGGCGTAACTTCGCACAGACTTCGCCGAGCCGGCGAGCCGGCTCTGGGGTGAGCTCCCAAAGCCAGATGGCGTTACCGCTGCCATTCGTCTCGATCTTATTGCGGACGAATCCCGTTCCTTAGTATGTGTTTAGCTCGCTTCTACCGGACTCTCTCTCGTCTGGGCTCATGTACTGTATGGATGGGCCCACAGGAGTCCCCTTGTACACAGCTTGAACAACTAGTTATTGCATCATAGAATCTATATGGCCACTTAACCAATAGCTTATTAAAGCGTCGTTTCGTCGAGAAGATCATCAAGTTTGATGTCCTGCTCGTCCGGGAAACTAAGTTAGACAAGGACCTTGAAGCGTCCTTTGTAGACAACATGAATGAGACAAGAGAGCATGAATTCCATGTTTCACAACAGATGGTAAATGACATAACATAGCTCTTCATCGCAAGGAAGTCGGACTCAGCGCTAGTGCAAACCGTTGCATCCACACCTCTTCATCCTTTTCTGCTGCTGTAACCATGTTGCTGCGAACAACCCCTATGTAATCTCTTGTATGACCCTCATTGAGAAGATAGACGAAAGCCTGATGACAGGTAAAGCTGAAAGAGATGAGTTAACATTGGATGCATTGTCACACAGGATAGAGTGCTTACACGTGCTGCACAAGCTGACGACGTTCCTGGAAGCGTTTCCCGGGAGACTTACAACGCTGCCCGGTTCTTGCCTCAAATGGGCACGTATAAGCACCCTGTGAATTTCTGGCTTTGACTCGCTCCTTTCGTGCATGCTCCCTTCGGGTTGCTGAGTTCCGCAAAGACGACTGCTTCAAGCGCTCTCCAGTGACAGCTCCAGGAAAGGGCGAGGTCCAGAGAGTCCGCTTGCTAGTGTGAAGCGATGGGGCGACTACTAGTGATGAGTACGAGAGATAGATGGAAATATGATGTGAGGCTCACTATCACCCCCTGGAGTACTGGAGGAGGACGGCTCTGCAAACATCTCTACATCGGGGCAAGTATCTTCATGTTGATCGAATTCGGCCCTTTGAGTTGACGATTCATTATGGAACAAGCGGCCGTCTGTCAAAACGATAGCGTGTTCGATTAGATCCAGAGCACTGCAGTTTGTCACAGCATTGGGTAGAAAATCCAGACACTAACCTTCAGGGACATCAACACGAACATCCAAGCATTTAGGAGCTGCAGAGGACCTTGACATCCACGGATTGCCATCCGGCTTTGAGCGTGCCATACGAAGTTCTGGTAACTGAGAACGTTGGAGGAACCACCAGGCCATGCAGTTCAGTTGTAAGATATCCTCGCCATCAACAGGTCCGTCGCCTTCACGGGTCGCCAGCCTATGCGCTCGAAGCTCGTGTCCAACTTTGGCCGAATGTCTGATGTTGACGGGCACAATGTAGTCTTTCGCAATTTTCGTGCAAAAGGAATCATTGGCAACCTGTCAAAGTTGTTTGAGAGGTCGGGTGGAATCCCAGATACCAACGCGGCTTACCTGATGTGGTACTCTGGCGGGTAAGATAACAGCATCCCTTTCTCCTTGCTTGAAGCTGGTGACACGAATTTTGTCAGCCTTGAGTCGCTCCACATCATCATCCGTAAGGAATATTGTTTGCGAGTGTATTGGGTGTCCCTTGAACTGGTTCACTTTGTTCTTACGCAACCAATCCGTAGCACGGTCCACGTCGTCGCGATGGATGGTAGTCCAGACAGCTCCGCCGGGGGTGCCATCGGCATGGCGAGCATAGAGGTTGAGGTTTGTAGCATCCGTCACGTCCATGTGCAGGTGCGTGCTGACCCCTCCCGCCGCCCCATGTGCCAGATAACCTTTGGGACCTACATGCATCTCAGCTCTGGGGTCATTTGAGAATCTATGCACAGGACCGTACCTGTATCTGGAGGGCATGAGCCGCTTGGCATGCTAGACTCGAGATTGAGATTTCCTTCGTAAGTAGTGATGTTTGGGCCGGTCAAATGCTTTTGAAACCATCCGTAGAGGCGAGGAAATTTATTTCGGAAATCAACTGCGGGGGGCCAGTCCTATGACTACTGAGTTCTTATAGCGAGAGCTATCGGCATAACGACCGCACCTTTATCTTCAACGGTGGGTTCTGCATCTCCGCATGATCGAGTGTCGCCAGGAATTCTTCGAGGGTGGCTTCTTGCCATTCACCGGTGACCGTATTTATGACGGTGACTTCTTCAGTGCCAAAGTTGCGCCTGAGATATTCGGGTGTCAGGATGTGTTCTGGGAGATCTTGTAGACCTGTGATCAGGATTGGGACACCCGTTGCAAGTGCACAATAGAAATCAGAATAAGACGGCAGGCCACGCCCGTCGGTGAGTTCGAACCTGATAGGATGCTCGTCTTTATATCGATCCCAGTTGGCAGGTCGTTCTCTACGAATGGGTCAACCTTTGCGGGCTGCTTATCTGGCGACAACTCACAGAGGTTCCGTTTGATCCATTATCTCGAGAGCCCTTTCCGCTTGGCCGGGTCGAAATGGCTCAATGAGAATCAGCCAGTGTGACGCCTTGCCGTTGCAAGGTACCGGCTACACGAGCCGTAAGAAACACTGAACTCCGCGACGCAGGGGGACGGATGAATCAGACCTGTTCCTCGCTCACGCAAGAGTCGCATAGTTCTCGCCCGCACAATGTACACAGGCGCGAAGAGCACAGGATGGAGGTCTTGCACCAGTCTATATGTGACTTGTGATCAACCGCAGAGCTTACTTAATCGAATAGACGTACCGCATGTGGCTCTTTCGCCATCCAATGGAAAGGGCCGATTCACAAAAGCTCCGACGATTTTCCGCAGGTCTATATGTCGTTCGACCTCCGGATAGAGAGCCGGGGTGAGTCCGACCTACAGGACATACTGGGTCACAGACGAGGGCAATTCAAGCACTCAAGTCAACTCACCACACATTCAGTTAGAGAGTTCCGATCCAAATCGGAAGGTCCGTCCGTCCAAATCGGATCCGCGCCAACGGACAGATCTGAAATGCGCACATCCAGCAGTTTGGGGCCTTTGGTGAATGCGAAAGTCCTTCTACCTTCTACAACATGTGTCAGAGGCATGACACTAGGATTGCTGAGTGATATCAGCGATGGCGTACTGAATAGACACTTCGGCTCTTTCTCTTCATCTTGCCCCTTGCTTTCCTTCTCCACCTTTAGCTTCTCCTCCGTCTCTAGTGCATGCTCCTGGCAAATGGGGCAGAGACCGAACCCGATAATGGTCTTCATCATGGCCTTCGTCATTGGGGCCTTGGGCCCGATGTCTCTACAAATCGTGGTCTGCTGGTACTCGAACTGTTTCGATGGAGCCATCTCGAGCCTGGGAATATGGTGATGGAGGTTGTGGTATGAGAGATGCCGCGGAATGCTGATTATCACTGCAAGCCGGCCTGCAACGGAAATCAGCGGTTTGAACTTCGCGTCGACATTTCACAGAGAGAACGCACTTTTTCGACAAGGCAAGTTCATTCTGTGAATGTGCGCGTCGCGTTCGCGGGATCCACGGAACGCAACTGCACTCGCCGAACTTGCCTAATGCGGACCAACCGTCCTACCCCCTCGAGCCTTAAGCCTCGTCTGCTTGACCTCCAGGTATTCGACGTTGACGAACGTATAGTAGATGGCTCTTTGCTTCAATAGTTTAGTCAATCGGATTCGAGTGATCGTCATCAAGAAATTCTATTGCCTTGCTACATACGGGGCTGGTGTGAAGTACGAGCCTCGACGAGCGAACGCATCGCCGAGAGCCGAAACAAGCCATTATAGCAGACAGGGATGTAATCGTACAGAACAGAAGAATGCGAAAGATAGCCATGCCATAGTTGACTGGGAATTACTGGTAGGGAGCATCATCTACCTCCTCGTCCTCCTCAGCACTGAAAGCTTCCGGTGTTATCTGCAGGGGTGGGAGTGCTGCCATGGCGTTCGCCAATGGCCCCGGAGGACCGACAGGTGCAGGCGCGGGAGGATGAGGTATCACAGCCGGCGCGACGAGGGGAAGTTGGAAGTTAGACAGCTCAAAAAGGGCCGGTGTCGGCGGCGGGAACTCGGATAGGTCCTCGAGGATGCGCTCGCGCGACCAGCTAATGACAGTTGATTAGCCCAGCACTATGTGCGGATAGTTGAGAGATACGTATCTTCGCCAGCCTGGAGCATTGCGGTCAGAGCCCCAGACCCTTACACCCTCACTGATGTCGTCGTTGATGGTCTTCCAGAATGCTGTATCCCCGTGTCCATTCGGCGGGGCCGGGTTCTGGAAGAGACGAAGGGCGGTGAGGCGCTACCAATAGGTTAGACAAAGGCACCTGCAAGCGAGGCAATGAACGTACACGGTGGGCAAAGTGGCCCTGTATCAGATCCGAGTGCTTCGCGGTCTCCTTGTCGCCGACAACCAAATCCTCGACGGTGTTGATTGTGAACTGCGGCAAGCTCATAGCGCGGTCCGTGACAGAGCTCAGGCACTAATATATCTGTCAGCACCTAAGACAAACCTTCGGACGGAAGACTTACGCGGCGACGATATGAGTTCTTGAGGTTATGAATCTGCGCTTAGAGGTACAAGCGAGTGACATCCTGGGCAGTGAGGTTTGAAACGTAGACGGAAACGTCCACTTCGCCACCCTGAGCTCGCAGATAGTCCTGAAAATGAATATATGAGTCGCAGTACACACTTGAAATGAAGTGATCAGCTCACATCAAGGCGCGACAGTAAGAACCTGCCCGTATGACCGAGCAAAGGGTGGGCGAGGAAGTGAGAGACGGCCTCCCGGAGGCTCCGCTACAACAAAACTGTCAGACTGATGAGCAGATGAGTAGGAGAATAGGAACGGCGAACCTTCTGACGGTCAGAAAGCTTGAAGTTCTCGGCGAGTTTCACTGCGACGTCGGCCAAAGCTGACGTGAGACCATCGATCTCGCGCTGTTGAGCCGCCAGCGTCGTTTGGGTCTTCAGGCTGAGTGAGAACATAGCGGAAAGTTGATCGGCCATGCAGCTCTGCGACTGTACTGAGCCCAAAAGCTCTCGTACGGGCAACGAATAAGCATACCATCATAAATTCGAAGAGCATAGACCCGCCCTGCTCGTCCAAGTTGTGCTGGACGATGAGGCGGCGCGAAGCTGCACGAGCCTCCGCGACGGGGTCGGACATGCGCGCCGCCATTCGTTTGGAAGAGGTTCCGTCCATTCCGCACTTGCACCATCGCTACAGCGCACACCTATACTAAGGATTAGTACAAGATGAAGTGTACACAAAACGATCGTTACATACCATGAATCGCGGAGGGGGAGGGTATCTTAAGCCGTTTGTGTATCTTCTCCAATTCCACGTAACGCGAGAGGAACGACGCGAGGGAAACGTGGTCGTTGTTCGCCGCGTCAATCCAGAAGCCGCCGTCTACCAGTCATCGAATGAACACGGGGGTGGAGTTCGCCGTGACGCATTTCCCAGCGCGTCACCATCACGACATGCAGCCCCGTATCTGTCTTTACCAATGCGGGTTCATGCACAAAATAGTCCTGACCTCCCGGTCCAGGCGAACGGGCCATGGGACAACCGACGTTCGCTGGTGCATCGAAACGCCAGTGTTCGGACTGAGATGCGTCCTCGACGTCGCCGTCCGGCTGCTCCGGGTAAAATTTGAGGTGTTTGCGAACGAGCGGGTTGGCCACATTTCCTGCGAACTCCGTCAGTGTGAGGTATTGATCAAGGCGGAGGAAAGCGTGCGTGAGAGAGTATATCCTTAACACTATCGACCGCATACCGGTGTCCGAGCGCGCCCTCGTACAGGGTCGTGCCTGCGCCAGCCAGATTCATGATGGACTCATTATCGTGCTTGACTTGACGCGGCGACGGCAAGCCATTAACGCCGCACATCTCCGCATGCCAATTCATCGCGTCGACTCCATTCTCCGAGAAAATAGTTCGAGGGACTGATGACATCACACCCTGCAGTGCATACTGGAGATTCATCAGTACCCGACAGGCCGAACGAGGCGGACGGGACATACCTTCTTGCCCTTGTAAGAAAAGTAGAGTTCTGGGTCGTGAACATCAAACCTCGGCTTTAAGGGGTCTGTGACGCGATCAGATACGCGAACGGTTACAACGAACCAGGCGCGACGTACCAGCTTGCGCGCGTGTAGCTGCACGGCCAGCGAAGCTCGGGAAAGTTGACTGGTTGGGGTTTGCTACCAAAACATTATCAGATCGCGAGCGGCGGCATGGTACATGTCACATCACCCAACTTCCGAGCCCCGACAAGGTGGATCAGTACGCCGAGAAGACAGGAGAGAATCCGCGTTGCCGTGTGCTGCATGGCCAGCTTCAACTTCGTCCGAATCGTCCCTATCAACGACACCACTCTCGTCTGGAGGCGCGCTGGAGGCGCGGGCCGGCTCGGCCCACCCCACATGCCACCCCAATCATCGTACAGCTGCTCTGGTCAATCTGACGGACGACGAGGACCTGGAACGGTGATATACGGCTCGTGTGAGAAGTTTGGGAAGGCGGAGTTATGAGTTGGCGCCGCTGTCGGCGCCGGCGATATTGGGAGGCAGCTGGTCAAAGCCCTGGATCGTGGTGTGTGGGATGGAAGTCCAGCGTTGGGGGACGGTCAAGATCTCGAACACGGATGCTATGCATCTCAGTCTCTTCGTGTGCCATGGCTTTACTGCGAGTTACCCATTGCGGAAACTCCCTTGTACAAAGCCGGCATTTGTGAAGCCGCTCATCGTCCGTCTTGTGCCAGGCTGGAGAGCTATCAGAACCCGGAGTAGTCATGTACTCATATAACACACCATCTTCCTGTCGGGTAGTGGCCATCGCGCTCGTTGATGGGCGAAGGATGTACTTGGATCGGTCGAGCGGCACACGGCACGGTCGACGACGTGCTCGCAAGAGGCAAGTCCACTTTACCTCCAATTGGGTCTCAGAGCACAAGTCGTCGCGGCATGAATTCACAGCGCAAGAGCGTGTATTACAGAGTGATAGAAGGTAACTATGAAACCTACGGTACGAGAATGCAGAATCATGGCGGTCAACAAGGAAAACGCGGCGCGAACTTGGCTTATTGAAAAAGCGTGGGTTTCATGCTGATTCCCGTCGCGCACGTGCGCTTCCGCTGATTTCAGTTGTCGGCCGTCTTGGGGTGATATAGTTCGGCCGCGCGGGGGCGGCATGCGCTTACGTACGTGGGTATTCCTAAGCTGTATCAGCCAACAGAACTCCTCTCAACAGTTTTCAACTCCTTCATCCAGGCAAGTGAGCGACTCAAGCCATCCCATCATCACAACCGACATGGACACTCATCAAGTTGCCGGCTATGGCCGCCCACAGAAAGTCCGAAATCCGCAGCGAGCGACCCTGGTCGCGCGGTACCGCAACCGGTGGGCGGAGGCTGCCCAATCGAAGGGCGCACGTTGTCAATTACTCAACGAGGCGGCCAGTTGGGTGTGGCTCACGTACGGCGCGGATGATCCTTGGACCGAGGTCGGTGACGTCGAGAACGGCGCTCTGATTGAGGCCGGGGAGTGGCTCGCAAACGAGGGCGTCGTGCCAGACATCAACCAGCCGCAGTACAAAGCAGTTCGCTCGGTGGGTTGTATTGATCGATACGGACACTATCCAAAATTGACGCTGGTACGCAGGATATACTCCGTGTGCTCCAACTGGAGACGCAGAACCAGGCCGAGTAGAAGGCGGCCCGGGGATTGTATCAGGAACGTGGCGGTTCGCCTTCTCATCCAGGTGTCATGCCTCTCTCTATAAACAGGCATAGCTCTTAAGTATCTTGCGAGATACATGGTACTGTCCTCTGCGACTTGTGTACTTGCCCTGACTTCAGTATTCTCCCGGCCGTCTTCGTCCCGAGAGCGAAGTGCGTGATCCAGTGGACCAGCGCACCTTCAAGTTCTGCTTCAACTTCGCCTCACCCGAACACGATTGCTCAGTGCTCACAGAGCGATAGAAAGCTCGGGCATCAGGCGAAGTTTCTGTGTAAATGCGGATGAGTGTATAGCCACTTATTGAGAGTGCGAGGCGCTTGGCACGTCCGACTATCGTTGTGGCCTCCATGTCTTCGTACTCGGCATTACAGGCTCGGACATGTGGACATCCACTCCGCGCGACATCGACATCGGTGGTCCACGCGCCTTCGGTTTTGACCTGGAGTACAAGCCGCTGAGAGTATTTGTACCGCCGAGGAGTGTAATCGACGAGTATGGTCCTCCTGCGTGAGACAGATGGCGGATAAGAGAAAGCCCACATCCGGGGCATCGGGTCTGCCATGAAATCGATGTACGATGGCGGCGCGTGCAGGGCATGAATGGCGCGCGCATCATGCACGTCTTTCGTATCTATCTGAATAGAAGACATTCCTCGACCGCGTGTATGATCATTGTCTTTCAGCTGTACCTTTCTACCTTGGCGCTTGAAGTAATAGAGTTGGCCTAAGGACCGTACAGGTCGCATCTAGCGTCATCACTGAAAGCCGGAGGCTGTGTTCATCTACTCAAAGTAGTCTCGTTACCAGACCGCTGCCGCAAGAGTTTGGTGGGGGGGGGGGGGTT